TAAATCATCATCATTTCTCATAAATGCAACTTTTAAACACTGAGAATAAAATAAAAAAGGAATTAAAATTAATTAAATCAAATAATTTGTTATTTCTTTTTAATATTTCAAAATAACTTCATAACATTAACAAAAAGGAAAAAAAGAATTAAATTTTTTGTGCAATTTTTTCGCCAAAAGCAAATGCTTGTTTCATTTTACTACTATTCTTTGCAATTGAAGTATTATCAGAACCACCAGTTAAATGCATTTCATTAAAAGAATATCCAAATAAACTTGCAATTTCTTTAATTTCAAAAACTCCTCGATCATAACCAGCAGAACCACATGTTGTTAAAGCAACAATAGTCTTTTTTCCTTTGTCAAGAACTTCTTGTTTAGCTGAATATGTGTTCCAATCCATCATCATAACAGTTCTATCAATAAATACTTTTAATTGACCTGGCATTGCATACCAATAAATAGGAAAAGCAAATATTACTAAATCAGCTTCAATAAATTCTTTCATTAATTCACTGCATCTATCATTTTGTGAACAATACACTTCTTTATGATTTTTACATGCAAGACATCCAGCACATCCATTTAATTGTTCTTTACAAACATTAACAATATGATTTTCTATTTGTTTCTTTGATGTTAATCCTTTCAAGAAGTTTTCTAACATAATTCCTGTATTTCCTTTTTCAATTGCTGATGCAAGAAGTGTAAGAACTTTTAAAGACATTTGTTTTTAATAATTATTTTGTTCTTTTTAATCAGTTTAAATAATGGTGTATTTGTTTTCGTTTATTGTTGAAGTTTTAATTCGATGTTTTTTATCTTTTTATTGAATTTTTTTATATTTTTTTTTCTATTTCCTTTCATAAGAAAAAAACAATTTGAAGTTCTTAAATAATTTCTTTAAAAATGTGTTGATTTATTGATTCGTTTCTATTTGTTGGTATTTTTATTTTTACTTTCTGATATTGATATTGTTTAAAAAATAAGGAAGTATTTATCACTTCTATTTTATGATTTGTAATAATTTATAAATATTCACATAACTCATAATTATTGAAATAGTTATGTGTTGTTGTTATTTTGTGATTATAATTCTTTCTCACTAGTATTCCTAACACAACACTCTGTTTTTATGTTCCCTTTAATAATGTTATGAGTTAATTAAATCAAAGAGGTAATGAAGAAAATGTACCAAAAATATAAAAACAATAATTATATAGTTATAGCATTTAATGCAATTATTCCAAATAATTGATAAAACATTTTACTTATTTGAATGATTAAATGACAAATAAAACAATAAAAAGAAGTGAATTGAAAGTACTAAATATCTTTGAAAAAAAAGAAAAATAGAAAAATACTGTTATTCAACCTATTCGTTATGATTATTTTATAGGATAAGTTAATGATAAATAAATTAATAAAATATAAAAAATGAATGAATATATAATATATAGAAAATAATTAAATAGATAATAAATTAAGAATAAGATGGCTAAATGAATTGATATAAATATAGTAATACAAAAATATCATAGAATATTTAATGATAAGGTGTTAATACAAATTGAACAATAAATCTAATAAAACAATAACAATTATTGAATAGTTCATAAGAGAAGCATATTTTTTTACAATACCTATTAATGTAATTATTTTATTTTAATTTATAAATATTATTGTTTTTGTTTATTTTATTTATTAAATTCTTTTTGTTAACAATTATTCAATTGGTTATACTTTTATTGTAATATTTATTTATTTTTATTATTCTGTTTGTTTGTGTTTTCTTCTACTTATTTATTATTTTTCAGTTCTCAAATTTCTTCTTTATTTGGTTTATTCATTCTTTTATCTTTCATTATTTCAATTAAATTTATTTCATTTGAACTTTTCTTGGTTTATATATATTTATCTTATTCCTCTTATCTTATTCTTTCATTATTTTCTGTATCTTCTTATTTCATATTATTATATTCATTATTATTCCTATTCATTTACCATTTAATATAAATTTATCATTTTTTGTATCTAATTTATTCTTTTTCTCTTTCTTTTTCAATTTTACTGTGTTATGGTATTTAAAATGAATCAAATATGAAGATAAAATAAATTTTTATATTTCTATTCATTTTATTAATATATTTCAAATGATTGATATTTATTTTCTATTGATTATTTTATCATTTCTATTTATCATTTCATTACAACATAATTTATAACTTTTATTTGAACTAATATTATCAAATGTCATTCAGTTGTATTTGTTTAATGTATAGTTTATCTTGATTTTATAATTTGTTATGAATGAGGTAAGAATGATTATCAATTTCTATCAATACATTTCTTTGTTTGTTAAATCTTCAAACAAACTACATCTTTCCAAGTTTGGTATGAAAATAATTGAATTGGTATAATGTAAAGAAGTAAAAATACAAGTTAAGTGGTTGCAAATAAACATGTTGAAATAAAGTAGGTAAATTTTTGTTACTAAAGTATTTAAATAAACATAACATGCGAGTTTAAATACGAACTAAAACATAATTCATAATGAATATTAATTAGTGAGAAATAACTTATTCTTTAATTATATTAATTTTGTTTTACTAGTTCTATTTTTTGTATAAATTATTTTTTATACTGTTGTTTCATCAATTATTTAGTTATAATAATATTTTATAATATTAATAATAAAAATAATTAATACTTCATGTTAATTTTATATAACATTATCATTTTATTTATAATTAACATTCATACTATATTTATCTGTTATTTTTTTTCATTTGATTTTCTTTGTATTTATTTTGAATAGTGTTTTATTTCAATGTATTCGATGTACACTCTCTCTTGGTTTAATATTATTTGTTGTATATTCATAATTTTTATTCTCATTTTTGATACATAGTTATTCTAAGACATTTAAATAATGAATGATTGTTTACAAATCTATTATTATATTTAGAAGTCAAAGAAAAATATTATCTAACTCATAAATAAATTTATGAAAAAGGAATAATCTTAATTTAACTCAAAACAAGAAAATAAATCAGGTATAAATAATTAAATATAGTGGCAAGTATATATTTTTAAAGTATTAAGTGAGATTTAAACTTATCTTGATTCTATTTTTTAGAAACGAATAATGAAACGAAAAAAGATTTAAAAAAACTTTGAAAGAATCTAAGGAAGTAATAGATAAAAATAGGAAAAATGAAGAGAAAAAAGAAACTAAGAGTCAAAAAGATTTTATATTTTTAAACATTTTTTGTTGGTGTATTTATTCTTAAACTTCTATATAATAACTAAAAAAGTTAATCTTATACATAGTTAATATTATATGATTATTATTAATATACTTATCCTTTTTATTTGTTCTTGTATGTCTAAAGATTGTTCAATCAATTCAAATGATTTTAAGCTTGAGAGTGATTGTAATAATGTTTCATTTGATACAACATTAATAACTGGTGAAATTAAAGTTAATCTTGGAGAGAACAATGAAAATAACAATATTAATAGTTTTACTATTGGTTCATGTACAAAAC